CGTCAGCACGAACTGGAGATGGTTAGGCTCCAGCAGCAGCGACAGGTTCAGAACCTCGGGTCCCTGGAGCATAGGGACACCTTTTTGGCCGTGGGCACAGCAGCCAAATTTCCAGTGATGAAAGATAGTGACATTGACATGTATTTATTGTCATTTGAAAAAACTTGCCGTCAGTACCATCTGCCCCAAGCACAATGGGCTCGTTACCTGGCACCAGGGCTACGAGGCAAGGCCCTGGATGCGTTTGTTTGAATTGCCAGAGGGGCAGGACAACGATTATGAAGCTCTAAAAGATGCCATCGTCCAGAAGTACCAGATGACCCGGAAGCGTACCGCAAGCTGTTTAGGTCCTTGCAAAAGGGACCTGGGGACTCTTACACGGATGTGGCGGTCGCTTACGCACCACATTCCGGCAGTGGACTAAAGGACTGAAAGCTGACTCCTACGAGTCTCTGGAGGATCTCATGATACGAGACCAGCTCCTGCATATCTGTCCGGCAGACGTCAGACAGTTTATCTTGGAGAGAGAGCCAGCATCTGCAAAGTAGCAGCGATCTGGCAGATACCTATGTCCACACGCGGGTGTCTGACCATCGCACGGCCCCTCTAAATGGCTGGAGAGGAGGGAAATCACCAATAGAAACCCCCCCTCGCGGTGAGTCAACCCCCCCCCTCACCCAAACCTGCAGTACTTGGGGCCAAGCCTTTCCCTGACTGAAAACCCGCGATGTTTCCTTGGGGGAAAACTGGACATTCGGGATGAGTGTCCTGAGCGAAACAGATGACATCCCCTGGCCAGGGCTAGCAACCTTTTCAGGCTTTTTGCCCGTGGGAAAGATGTGGGTAACCCACCCCCAACTTGAAACCCAGTCACTATGGGCAACGGTCTGTAAGGGTTTTTCCATGACACCAGGGCAGAAGTCACCGCCCCGGCCAGGGGTGATTGGAAAAAGGAACCTCATCCCGGAAAGTTCCTTACCCTCAGGGAGTTGGGGGGACCCGTTAGCCCCCTGTGCAAAGTTTCTAGATTGGGGGGGGGAAAGGGGGATGAGGGAGGTGGGGGTCTCGATGAAACCCCACCCCTGTTTTGTTGGGTCCCAATTTGGGGTACTCTTGTGTCCTATTATGCCCTGCGAGAATATTTGGGAAAGGCCCCCCTAAAAACCTGGAATCCCAAGGACTGTTGCAGATGTTGGGGCAATGTCGGGAAAACCTGGGGAAGGACGGGGGAGGGGGGGGAATGGAAATGGGGGGGGGGTTGCAAGATTTCTATTCCCGGGAAAAGGGAGGGGAAACCCCTTGCAAGGGGGAAATGAACTAGGTTCATTGATAGTACAAACATAATGTTGATGATGATGATAATAAGATGCTGCATTGAAAATGTTGTAATGCTAATGTGATGACGAGATGCGGGCCTTGAAATGCTAATGATGATGATGGTCATAAAATAATTAGAGATGAGCGAATTTTTCAAAATTCGATTGGCTGATTCGGCGATTCCAGGAAAAAATTCGTTCGTGCAAATTTAAAATTCGCTACAAAAGTTAATTATAAAAAGGGTTTTGGTTTCAGAGGCCTTTTAATTAGTGGAACACTGTCCCTTTTAAATTTTAAATCCCCTGGGAGGGGGAAGGAGAGGATGAGAAAAAGGAGGGTGAGAAAAAGGAAAAGGAGGGAGAAGAGGAGAAGGAGAAGGAGAAGGGATGAGAAAAAGGGAAAAGGGATGGAAAAAGGGGAAAAGGGATGAGAAGAAGGGAAGGATGAAAAGAAGGAAAAGGGATGAGAAGGGATGGAAGAAGGATGAAAAGAAGGGAAAGGAGAGGAAAAGGGGAAAAGGAGAAGGAGAAGGAGGAAAAGGGGAAAAGGATGAGGAGGATGAGAAGAAGGGGGAGAGAAAAAGGGATGAAAAAAGGAGAAGGTGAGAAAAAGGGAAGAAGGAGAGGTGAGAAGAAGGAGAAGGTGAGAAGAAGGTGAAAAGAAGGATGAGAAGAAGGAGGAGGATGAGAAGAACGGAGGGAGGATAATGAGAAGAAGGAGTGAGGGTTGAGATGAAGGAGGAGGATATATGAGAAGAAGGAGGAGTGAAAGCGATGGACAGAAGAAGGCGATGGCATGATGAGGAAGGAAGGTGGATGAGAAGAGAAGAAGGATGAGAAGAAGGAGAAGGATGAGCAGAAGAAGAAGGATGAGAAGAAGGAGCAAGGATGAGAAGACGAGGAGAAGGATGAGAAGCAGGAGAAGGCGCCGGTGAGAAGAAGCGAAGAAGGTATGAGAAGAAGGAGAAGGATGAGATGAAGGAGAAAGGATGAGAAGACAGGATGAGGATGAGGAGAAGGAATGAGAAGAAGGATGAGAAAGAAGGGAGATAGGATTGAGGATAGAAGGAGAAGGATGAGAAAAGGATGAGAAGAAGGATGATTCAAGAAGAGAAGTGTATTGCAGAGTCCGCTCTTTCATTAGGAGAAGGATAGAGAAGATTAGCGGAGCTTGGATGAGAAGATTAGGGAGCTGAGAAAGATAGGATTTTTGCTGATGGAATTCTTTTATTTTATTTATACTTCTTCTTCTTTTATTTTCATCTCATCCTCAGAAGAGAGAAGAAGGATTCCCTCATACAGCGCAAGCGATGAGAAGAAGGAAGCCGAAGGAGTAAGTAGGATGGGACATTAATCGGAGAATTCAGAGAGAGATCAATGCCAAAGAAGTGTGATCTGCAGATGAACACAGAAGAATGCCGATAACTTAGGATGAGAGAATGTCAGATTTCATAAGGTATGCCGGCTTAGAATACGGTCATGAGAATAGAGAAGACATATATTTCTGACAGTCTCTGAAGGACACCTCAACTCTCATCAGAAGGATTGTTGAGAGTTCTGTGACGGATTCTATCTTGTTTCCAAAATAAAAAAAAAAAAAAAAAAAATGAAGTAGGATGAAAATAAGACTAGATACAAGCGTTTTAAACCGCTGTATGGAGTGGAATGTCACAGTATCTGTCAGTAGCTCCGCTATTTCTGACAGTTCTGGGAAATTCCACTCCATACAGCGGTTGAAACATTGTATTATTTGTTTCCATAAATGGATCCTTTTATGGAAACAAATAGATTAGCAGCAACCCCGGGAAATGATGTACTGGGGTTTTTAAAGGGATGGCCAGATTGCGACTCTGCCTTGGTGTTGTGTTTTCCGGGGCCCTGTATCTGTCCTGCACCCCGTTTCTTTTCCCTTTGTGACCCCTGATCTAACTGGCTGATTCTCTGCTCTGTCCTGGTTGTGCCCCCTGACACCCTCTGTTGACCCTCTGTACCTCTTGCTACCTGTAAACCTGGTGTGACCCCGACCATTCTCGTTGCCCCCCCCGTACCTACCTGCCCAATTGTATTGACCCGGCCTGCCTGACGACGCTTGCTTGTATGTATGTTATCTGGGGGTGGTTGGTTTGGTTTGTTTGCACTGTTTTGTTTAGTATTGCCTCGTTTTGTTTGTAGGGTTTTGTTTAAAAATTATATTTTTTATCACATTTTGAAGTCTGCTTTTCCCCTGCATCAGTCCAACCCCTTGGTCATACCTGGGAGCCCTGAATTCACAAGGCCAATCCTGCCAGAAGTGGCTGCACGGGGAAGCCTCGGCTTGTTGAGGGGAAAGGAGGGATCTTGATGAGGTTGAGTATTTATATCTGCTATGTTTGATGAAGGGAGTTGCTTATAAAACTCTGAAGGGTATCCCCGGGATGATTGCGAATGTTTACGGCTCGCTATGTTTAGTAGTCAGGGCACATTGTTTTGAGGTGCGCCATTGATTGAGGTTTGTGCAGAGTTTGGGTTTTATCTGGTTCCCCGTGCAGGGGTGAAATTTTTTCCACCATTTGTGAGACCAGGTGGTCCCCCGGTGTGGTTTTAGAGGTTATGTGGGTTACCCTTTTGGAGCGTTACTCCCCCTGTTCACCCAGAAATAAAAGATTGTTAAACGCAGGAGTCATTGACAGACAGGTTTGTGTAAGTCGCTTTGTTCAACCCCCTTGCGCTGGACAACTTTTTCACCCAGCCTCGTCAGCTTTACAAAGACCGTCCTGCTTCTAACTCTACTCCCGTTTTTCCCACCCCGCCCCCTGCCCCCCTATTACCCCCAGTCAGTCCCCTGTTCCCACTCGCTGACCTATCCCGCCCTTTTAACCCCTTTTAAAAAGGCCCCTGTAGCAAAAAGCTCCCTCTCCTGTTCCATCCTCCCGTTTTTCTCTGTCTCCAGGTGCTCCCTTCGTTTGCGACCTGGTTTACTTGCAGTGTCCGTAGTTAAAACCAGAAAAAGCGAAAAAATTTTTTCCCAAACCCTACCCTCCTGCCGTATCCAACCGGTGAGCCTGCCTTCGTGATCGGCCCGAAGCCTCATAGCCTAAACCTCTACTCGGCGGATGCCTTCTTGCCCGGGTGCCCTCTTTAGCCCGGTGCCTCTCTTCGCCGGATGCCTTCTTCAGCCCGGGTGCCCCTCTTCAGCCCGGGTGCCTCTCTTCAGCGGATGCCTCCTTTCAGCCGGATGCCTTTTCTTCAGCCGGATGCCCCTCTTCAGCCCGAGCCTGCATTCAGCCCGATGCCCGCATTTAGCCGGTGCCTGCATCAGCCCCGATGCCCCTACTCAGCATGATGAACTGATCCAGCCCGACGATCCTATTAGGCCCGTTGACTCGATGCCCGCGTTGATCCCGATGATCCGGTCCCGTCCGTGCCCGTGTCGTGCCCAAATTTCTCAGAGCCCCCTGTATACGGTGCCAGGTGCCCCTGCCTTGCCAGATGACGCGGTGCCCCGCTGGCAAACCAAAAGACCTGATGCCTGGTGACCCCGTGCCCGCGTCATAACCCGGTGGGCCGAGCCCGCTGTCGGCGACGATCCAATGCTGGGACCCCGGTGCCCACTGCCTTGCCAGATGACGCGGTGCCCGCTGTGAGCCAAATGACCTGAGCTGGTGACCCTTTCCCGCTGTCCCGTCGCGATCCAATGTTGACCCAGTGCCCCCCGGCTACCAGTTGACTTGGGCCACTGCCCTTTCCAGATGACGCGGTGCCCCCTGTCGAGCCAAAGGGCCTGATGCCCGGTGACCCGTGCCCTGTCCAGTCAGACGATCCCAAAGTTGAAGTGCCCGCGGTCATTTCGTTGACCGGAGCCCACTGCCTTGCCGGATGACGCGGTGCCCGCTGTGAGCCAAAGGGCCTGGCCTGGTGACCCCGTGCCCCCTGTCGGTCAGCGATCCAATGTCGACCAGTGCCCGCGGTCTACCCGTTGACTCGGAGCCCACTGCCTTGCCAGAGACGCGGGGCCCGCTGTCGAGCCAAATGACCTGATGCCTGGTGCCCCCTGCCGCTGTCCGCAGCCATCAATGTCTGACCCCGTGCCGGGTCATAAGTTGACTCGGAGCCCCCTGTCGTGCTGGTATCGGTGCCCGCCGCTCCGCCTGGGGCCCGAGCCTGTTGCTCGCTTTTGGGGGGCCAGCGCCCCCCCCGCCGGGGTCCCGGGGCCCGCGCCCCCCCTGGGGGCCCGAGGGCCTGTCGTCCGTGAGGGTCCGGACTGCGGGTCCCCCTGGGGGGCCGGCGCCCGCCGCCCCCGCCCCCCAGGGCTTTTATCTTGTTGGTTGTTAATTTATTTGTTGTTTCTTGATTTTATTCTAGTCACTTTTGTTCTCTCTTGTCCTGTTGTTTGGTTGATTTTTTTATTTTGCTTTTTGTGATTTTTTCTTTAGTTTGTTTTTTTTTTTATGTTTCTCTGTTATATTGTTAGTCTTTGTTTGATTAGTGTTTTTTATTTGTTTTTTTTTTTTTTTTTTTGTACTACTTTTTTTTTTTTTAAAAAGTTTGTTTTTTTTTATATGTTTTACTTTATCTTTATCGGTTTTTTTTTTGTTTTGTTTAGATTTTTTCTTTTTTTCGCCGCGTTTTTTGTTTCGCATTGTTTATTTTTGGCTTTTGTTTCTTTGGTCCGCACCGTGCTATTGCCCCCCTTCTGCAAGGTTTCTGAGGTCCCGCGCGCTAAGGGGGCTTCGTTGTACGCTTAATGTTGAGTTCTTTTGTTTCTTTTGGGCGCGCTCGCAGTTGAATTTGCTGCTCTATTTATTATTTTTACGGCTGTTATTCTAGTCTGTTTGTTAAGCCTTGGCGCTCCGGCTTAGTTTGTCAACGTCGCTGGGTTCGTCCCGGGCCGCTGTGTCCTCGAGTTGGCGCTTCTCGGTGTGTCCCTTTGCCTTGTTCTTTTGCTTGCTCGGGGTCGGTGTGCTGGGGCTCGCGCGTGCATTCTTTTATTGTTTGTATGTGTGTGTTTCTTATTTCTCCTTTTGTTGTTCTCTGTGTCCGTTGTTTTTAGTTTTTGTCAGTGTTTTTGTTGTTTTTAATATTTTTGGAAAGCCTATCGTTTGGTTTGTTTTCTTTATGGGTTGAGTCTTGGGTTTGTTGTGTTGTTTTTTTTTGTTGTTTTTGTGTATCTCTGTCTGCTGGTTTTTTTTTCTTGTGTTTTTATGTTGTATTAGTTCATTTTGTTTTGCTTGTAGGGTATTATGTTTTTTTGATTTCTTTCGTTTTCATGTTTTTTTGTCTGTTTTTCGCTTTTCTAGTTTGTTTGTTGTTTTTGTAATTGAGTTACACTTGATTGTCAGGTGTCTATCCCATGTGCCCCTGCCCGATGTGCCTCTGCCGATGTGCCTTGCCCGTGTGCCCCTCCCGGAGTGCTTTTGCTCATGTGCCGCTGCCCCGGAGCCAGCCGGTGTGCCGCTGCCCGGATCCCGCCGGTGTGCCAGCTTTGCTTTCCCGCCCGTTGCCAGACCCGGGCGGTGGGAACATTTTGCCCCGCTGGACTGTTTGGGGCGTCCTGAGGGTGCTCCTTGAGGGGGGGGGGACTGTTAGGAATGGATGGCCAGCAATGGTGGGACTCACTGCCCTTTTTTATCTGAGTACCAGGGCTGGCCCCGCGGGTGCTCCCAATCAGAGACTCAACCCCTTTTAGCCAGCTAACACCCGGAATGATGATAGGGGTATTTAAGGGGTGGCCAGCTTTTCAGACTCTGCCTTGGTTTGGTTTGTCCTGGGCCTGTTCTGTCCCGCATCCCCTTTTTGTTCCCTTTGTGACCCTGATTGAACTGTGCTGAATTCTCCCGCTCTGATCCCGTTTTTGCCTTTGTTTTTTTTTGTTTGGTATGTTTTTAATGTTGTTGCAGTTTGGTTTTTATTCGTTTGATTCTCTTTTTAATGTTCTTTTATCGACTTATTTTATTACGTTTGGTCTGGTTTCGTTGTTTTTGTGGGATTGATTTGTTCTGTTTATGTATTCTTGTTGTTTTTGTTTTGTTTTTTGTGTTTT